AGCTTCCCAGACCAGTACAAGATAGGAGAGCAAGAGAGACTTGCCATGCCATAAAACCCCACAAACACCAATGCCCTCTTGCCATTGAGTAGGGTAAAATTCCAAAGCCTCTTTTGCCATAAACAACACTTTACTTATATATTACTTACCCCTTAGAAAAATAAATATGAACACATCCATTCCTTATTACTTACTACCCAACTTCTTATCTCTACATAAGCACCTTGAAATAATAAAAAATGGACCTTATTTATCTGCTTTGGGGAAATATTCTTTACAAGTTATGTACCAAAAACAAAGAACTTCAGAAATCCCATATACCCTCAGTAAATGATTTCTCTCATCTTCCCAAACATTATCAAATATCATTCTTCACAGATATAGTATTTTCCAGCAATTCAATTCAAAAATTTTATCCTGTAGTCTTCTTACCCTCAGGTGTTAATAAAGGGAGTAAAAGTGATTTAAAAACAAAAAATTAGGACTAATTATAGTACCAAAACTGAAAAAATATTTTTCCAAGTTGTAGTTTATCATTTAAAGTTGTGGATATTGGGGCTGGGGCTATAGCTCAGTGGCAGAACGCTTACCTAGCACACACGAGGCACTGGGTTTAATCCTTAGCATCAAATAAAAATAAATAAAATAAAGGGATGCTGCCCTTAAAAAAAGTTTTTAAAATATTAAAAAATAAATTTGTAGATATTATCTACTTTAAAAAATATATTACACTAATAACACTTGTAATAAAAAATCTGAGAATGCAAGAAAAAATATGCACATCTTATGTAAAAGCCTGATATCTTCTCTTATGCTAGTACACAGGTAACTTTACTTGAAAAGGATAATTTAAAGTATATTATTGAAAATTTTGATTTAAGATGCTATTTCCATTTCTGTGTTTTTCAGAATAATCATTTAGAATGACTTCACTTGGCACTTTCTTGGAAACAGATGAAACTTTATGTATACATAACAATTAAGCTTCTACCATTAAAGAGAAAATAAGTATATAGTTAATAGTAAATTTCAGGTACAGAAAAATGAAAATGATATAATTTCTAATTTTTTTTCCAATCTAAAATAGGTTTCATTACTTGAAAAAGCAATGTATATTCAAAGGAGGGAGAAAAAACAGAAAATATAGATGGAAAAAATGAAAATAATTTCAAATACTAATAAACCCCACAAACACAATGCCCTCTTGCCATTGAGTAGGGCAAAATTCCAAAGCCTCTTTTGCCATAAACAACACTTTACTTATATATTACTTTACCCCTTGGAAAAATAAATATGAACACTATTCAGAGAACCATCACTATTCTCCCCTCCACTCACACTTTATATATTACAAAAATATTTTCATGTCAATAAATATCACAAAAAATATAAAATAAAGTATTTGTTTCATCACCAAAATAAATCATAACTGAAACAGCCCCCCCATATCTGGCTTAATTTATCTCTTTCTGCTATAAAAAAAAAATAATGCTATCGGCTGGGCATGGTGGTACATGCCTGAAATGCCAGCTACTCAGGAAGCTGAGGGAAGAGGATTGCAAGTTCAAGGCCAAACTGGGCAACTCAGCAAGACTGTCTGAAAACAAAATAAAAAGGGTTATGGATGTAATTCAGTGGTAGAGCATTTGCTTAGTGTGCACAATTCCCACTACCACAAAAATAAAAGGAATCCTGTCATGAACATTTTTGTAGCTAATTCTCTGCACGAAACTATTATTACTTCCCTATTATAAAATATATCCAGTATAATTTCTAGATCAAACAATGTATTATTTTTAATATCAATTTACAGTTCTGCCTGGCATGTAAGAAAACTTTTTTCTATGCTTGACAAGCCAAGAAAGGTTCTTACCTTTGCTAATGTGACAGATAAAACTGTCTTCTCAGTGTTACTTTAATATAAATTTCTGTATTTCTTAAGAACATTAGCAGGGCATGGTGGCACATATCTGTGATCCCTGTGACTTAGGAAGCAGAAGTAGAGGCAAAGGAATCCCAAGTTCAAGGTCAGCCTCTGCAACTTAGCAAGACCCTATCTCAAAAATAAAAAGGGCCGAGAATGAAACTCAGTGTTTAAGCACCCTTAAATTCAATCTGCAGCGCGCATGCACGCGTGTACACACACACACACACACACACACACACTCTTTGGCCATCTTTCTTTGGAGCATTCATGTATTTCTCACTAATTTATAAGAACAGATTAGGCCTTTTTCACATATATCCACATGCATTTCTAGTTTGTAATGATGTGATTTGGGTCCCATGAATAAAACACTATCTCTTTATATACTGGTCATGAAAAAGCACCGACTATAACCATTATTTTAGGTAAAACATTTTTACTAGAAGCTTATATCATAGACTAATCAAAACCTAAGAATAGCAACTGCTCAGGTCAGTACTCAAGTCAATTTAAAATAACAGGTCAGAAATAGATAAGAACTTTCTATTACCAAACTATATATGTTAAACCCTAGACATAGTGTACTTATTCATTATAACATGCAGATTTGAGATTTAACACTGACTTCATTATTACTATCAAAGTTACTATCACTACTCTCAGTTTATGCATACATTCAAGTTTTTACCTTCTTCTAAAAATGTAAAATTTTGCAAAATTAAACATATGGGAACTGCTAAGGGATAAGTACACCTACAGAAAGCCAAAAAATATGGCGGGTGGGGAAAACCCAAAACAGAAAAAAAAAAAAACTTTGAGCCATATAATTAAGAATTTAAAATCTTCTGAATCTGGTACCTTTATTGCTAGCTAATAACAGCAGAGCATACATTAATTTTTTAAAAAGATTACAGACCACAGATTTTTAACTATCACTGCTTTAAAATGTAGATTTTCTATCATCAAAATCTTATTGCTGGGCAGGGACTGTGGCTCACTGGTAGCACACTTGCCTTGCATGTGTGAGGCACTGCGTTCGATTCTCAGCACCTCGTAAAAATAAATAAAATACAGATCTATCAACAACTAAGGGAAAAAAGATTTTTTAAAAAATCTTATTGCTTGTCAAATTATAAAGTGTATGTATAAAGTTACATCAAACATAAATCATTCATATTAGAGAAAATAGTCGACTACATCTGATGTTATGTATAAAGATTAAACAAACCTACCCTAGGAATTTGCAGGCATCCTCTCATATTAATCCACAAGCCATAAGCACAGCTAAGGCCCAGAAACTGGACAAATACTACTAACATTTCTTTTAATATAAGTAAATTTGCATTAAAATATCTTTCCAGGTCAATCCTCTCAAACAAGCTCACAGCAATCAATATCTAAGATTTATACCAAGTCTTTTTCCACTACATTTTAAAAAATATAAGAACTTATAATGTTTTTCATCTAAACTGATACTTTCATATTTATTTCAAAAACATGTCAAAGTAAAACACAGGGCACAAAATTGAATCTGCAGCATGCTCTTAATATAAAAATGGTTGCACTAAAGGAAATAACACTGAAATGTTAATAAAATAGTTGTCTTCAGGTAATAGAAATATAAGGGTTATTTTCTTTCTATTTTTAAGTTTGGTTTAATATATAAATGAGTATGTACTATTTTTATAACTAAATTTTTAAAAAATAATGAAGTGGACCAAATTAAGCAATTAAAAATAACTTCCTAATCCTCAATCAATTATCTCCTCAAATACAGGAGTAGTTTTTTGTTTGTTTGTTTGTTTGTTTGTTTAACTATGTGATAATAGCTTGAAAGAAAAAATGGTTACAACAAATACTTTGTGCCTCCTGCAAGTTCAGTAACACTATTATCATGTAATGACAGTACTGTATGCTTCCCTGTACACTGTTCATAAGCCTAATGGCTAAAATAGGTATTGCCAGTTAAGGTAGAATTTACTTTTTAAGAAAAAGTAACTCCTTAAACTAAATCCCAGATTTTCTCTCCTTTATTACTATAAAAGTGGTTCCAATCAAATTAGAATTGTTATTATATAAACATACTTATATATCTTAGAACACAGTAAAATCCAAGTCCCTTTCACACCTTCAGGATGAACATCAAGGTGGGGGGAGAAATCTGCCAGTGAAAAAGCAAAATGAACTCAGATACATGAACTGGAAAACCAAAGAATGAGGTTATTATTCATAGCCAATTTGAAGGCAAAATAGAAATGAAAACCCAAACAGTCCTGTTGTGAACCATGGCTGCTGAACTACTAAGAGACTAAAATTTTAAGTCAAGTACCTGGGAAAGCCAACCGACAAGAGGCAGGAGGTCAAAGAATGCATATATGTGGCCTGATCTGCTGTACTCTTTAGACATTCTAGACGTTTTAAGTCCCTTCTATTTCAAAGTAACACAGAAAGACAAAGGGCAAGGTTTAGGAGCTGGGACCAATTTTAACTCACTGGTGAATCTTAACCTAGAATGGAAAAAAAAACAAAACAGTAAAACCTAATATTATCCTAAAACTATCTAAAAACCAGCACAACTTTAAAAGTAGTGGTAATTTTAATGTATTCTTAAGATTTTATTTTGCATGTGTATTTAAAATCTTTGTTTTGTTTCCTCAAATTTAGTAAGTAAACCTATCTCCATTTTTATGATCTCAATTTTCACTTATTAGTATGAAAGCAAGCATAATCTTAGTTTCAGCATTGCCATAAAATAGCTTACTGAACTTGAACAAGTATATAGGCCTAAGTTTCTTCATTTGAATACTAAGAGGAATTGATCCAAATTATTTAAATGAACCCTTCCATCCTAAAATAATCATGCTATAATTCTTTAGGAAATATCAAGTGAGTAACACCCACCTTTAACAGGAGAAACACCCATGAAATGAAACAGTGGGTATATTCTTCAAGCCACCATACACCACATCAACAATGGTGAAGATAGGTCTTGATTCACTCCCACCCAACTCCATCACATCATCCAACCTTAAGCACAACAAGCCCAACACTACCTACTTATTAATTTACTTACAGAGGAAATGGGTAAGCCAACCCCCACTATGATGAGGACAGTAGATGTGACGGTACTGTCATGGTACGGAAACTTGATGCTGTTGTCTGTACAGAAAAAGCCTCTCTGAAATGGATATATTTGGCCCCAATTTAGAACAGTCATAGGCATGGAAGCTGTTGGGGAAGGGAAAAAAGACAGACATGATTAAACTCAATTCACTTCTTTAGGAAGTAAAGTCTACTGAAGGGAATGCAAATCTTAGTTACATTTTGCCCTTTGTGGAAAAAGATAAATACTTCATAATATCCAAGAGTGAATTCTGAGGAAACCATGCAACATTTGCTTATCCAAAAATAAATTCTCTTATTTGCATTGACCTCTGATTCTAAGGACAATCTATAAAAGAAATCTCCCAGGGAGAGGAACAAAATTGGCCCACTGAAAAATAAATTTGAGAAAACAGGATGGTTTTCTATTTTAAATTCTATAGCTAATTCAGATTTAATTTAATTATTTAATATCTTAATTATTAATGGAAAAGGCAAAGTTCTGGAAATAAATTTAGCAATGGCATCATAACAGTCAAATGTAGTTAAGTAGAAGAAAGACGTAAGAATTTGTTTCACATTAGAATGTAAACTAACAGATTTAGAAAAAATAAAAACCTTAAGTATACTTGATCACAAAAAAAAGAAAGAAAGGAACAAGCCCTTTGTTTTCCAAAGACAAATTAAAAAAAAAAAAAAAATTGGGCTTTTATTAACTCAGGCAGAGCTCCAAAACCATTTTAACATGTTATAGAGAAATAGTTTTCAGTTAAAATTTTCCATCTAAATAAAATGACCCTGAAAGACCAAAGTTAAATAACTTAAAGCAACAATGTTTTTGGTGATGTTTGTTTTGCTCTGTTTTTGTTGTTGTTGTTGGGGGTTTTTTTGTTTGTTTGTTTGTTGTTGTTTTGTGGGTTTTTTTTTTTTTAGCAGGGTCCTGCTATTTTGCCCAGACTAGCCTCAAACTCAAAAGTTTTCCTGCCTCGGCCTCCTGAGTGGCTGGGATTACAGACATGCACCACACGATGCCCAGCTAGCAGCTTCTTAATATGTTTAAAATATACCATACTTTTAAGCTTTGTTTTATAAAATTCAAACATTCAAACATCTACTCACTGTATGCACAATACTAAGCTAAGCCATATATAGTAAAAACAGAATGCACACTCAGAAAATTGTTTAAAAAAAAATACCAAAATATTTTTTGGGAGAGTGATTCAAGGGTTCTGTATCTTTATTGTGATGGTAATTCCACAGCTCTATTTTTATTGTATATACATTTTAAAAGACATAAGAGGCAGAAATATGCCATAAAAAAGAGGAATATGAGTAATTATTAAAATGGCATAAAAAGATATTTGGGAATTCAGAGGTCAAAGTAAATGAAAGTGAGAAAAGATCATTAAAGAGGAGGAACAAAGTAGAACTTGAAACAGCAGATAAATCACAGGCAATTGGGAGGGGCACAGAAGAGCAGTTAGTGGTTGAGGGATGCAAGGGCAGCATGAGAACTGCATCAAGAGCACAGAGGGAACAAGCAAGGAGTGTCCAAGGTACATTTTACAGCATGCTAATACATACTGCATGCTCACACATGCCAGGCACTAGGCTACACAGATCACCTTCATTCTTACTTCAACCCTGTATAGCAGGTACTATCCGTACTCCCATTTTTTACTAAAGTTATCATCGAGGTTTAGAGAAATAAAGAACACTGTTGAAACTGTAAGTGGTAGAGCCAAGATTCCAAAACAATCATTAAACATATGTCCTCCCATGGATACAAATGATCTGGCTAGAGTAACAGGATAAAATTGTGGCAAGAAAGATAAGAGTGCCGGTCATGGTGGCACATGTCTGTGATCCTAGCGACTCAAAGGCTGAGGCAGGAGGATCTAGAGTTCAAAGCCAGCCTCAGCAATGGCAAGGTGCTTAGCAACTCAGTGAGACCCTGTGTCTAAATAAAATACAAAATAGGGCTGGGATATGGCTCAGTGGTTGAATGCCCCTGAGCTCAATCCCTAATACAAAAAAAAAAAAAACAAAGGTAAGAGTGGGGGCAGGACATGTCCTTAAAAACAGCTTGTTCAATCAAATACATGTTGCATTCATAATAAAAACTCAAAGTTAATGAAACAATATCTTCTTTTCTCCAAATTTTGCAAGGTTTTTAACTGGGCTTAAGATTTTTGTGTTTATTAAAGGATTATGGCTTAAAATACTGGCCTAGAAAAGACCTTATCTTGTGGGGATATATATATGTGTGTGTGTGTGTGTGTGTGTGTGTGTGTGTGTGTGTATCACTGTCTTCTTTTGCGCAGGGTCAGCAACATGGTAAAATGAGAGTTTTAAAATTAACATCCAAACCAGCCTAGGTGTCCAATGGATGAATGGATAAAGAAAATGTACATTTAGCTACTCCAGAGGCTGAGAAAGAAGGATTTATAAACTCAAGGCCTGCCTGGGCAATTTATTGAGACTCTGTCCCAATAGAAAATAGAAAAGGTAAGGAATGTAGCTCAGTGATAGAGCATCTTCATAGCATGTGTGAGGCCCTGGGTTTGACTGTCAGTACTAAAAAAAAATCTATAATAATCTTACACTGAGTTTTACCTGTTATGATAAATTCATACTGTACGTAACTCCCAAAAAGCATTGTTTTCGTTTTCTTGCAGACATCTTTCCAGGGAACTTTCTACCATTTTTCATTTGAGACAGGGTCTCAGTAAGTGGACAAGGCCAACCTCAAACTTGCAATCTTCCTGTCTCAGCCTCCCAAATTACTGGGATTATAGAAGTGCACAACCATGCTCAGCTACCACTTGTTTTTCTTTACTTTTGCTTCTATATACTAAATATTAGCATTTACTTACTTCAGTCTTTCTCTAAAAATTTTTTTTAGATTTATTCCACTGGAATATTTTGTAATAGCACATCTTTAAGGAAGTATACACGATATCTAAAATGGGAGGGATTTCAATTATCAATTAGAAAAGAATCAGAAAACACACACACACACACACACACACAATCATTCCAGGTATTCATTTATCTAATCATAGAAGAAATGCACTAAGACAAACGTACACTGGCTAAGAGTTGAAAAGACTGAAATATTTGTGCAGCACTGTCGGCCATGGTCCCAATAGGAAACAGATGGCACGGCACGTTCAAACTGAATAATTTGAGAATTAAATTAAGGAACTATTCACAAATAAGTAGTCAGTGTTTAGAAAATCAACCAAAAGACAATGAAAAGAGGTGGGGGGCGTGGAGGGAGAAAGGAAGGAAGGCTAGCCAGGTAGCAGGCCATTCTTCTTCTGCCATGTTTTCCACTGTCCAAATCCACCTAGAAGCCAAAGGGCAAGGTCAGGCTCCTAGCACAGAGAGTGGGGTGGACAATGATAGAAAGAGCAGGTCAACTGAGACAAATATAGACATTCTAGTTCTGGAGGTAAGAGAAAAAGATAAGGCTAGGCAGGTTTTCAGTAGAGAATAGACAGGGCCTTGAAGTGGCTAACTCAAGAGTTTAATAAAGGAACAGGGTCTAAATTAAGACTACAAATTAAGAATTTTGGACTTTATTCTACAGGTAAGGAGACACACAATTTAATCTGTGCTTTAATGTAGTATGGAGAGTTCTAAGACAAGCTATGTAAAGGGGAAAGCAATATAAAGGAAGAATGGAGGAAAAGGTGAGAGACAAGAAATATTGGTGTATATGAAAGGTTGAAATGACATAGCAATGGAAAGAGAAAAGAGATTTTAAAGATGTCTTGGGCTAGGGTTGTAGTTCAGTGGTAGTGCACTTGCCTAGCCATGTATGAGGCACCACATGTAAACAAATAAATAAAATAAAGGTCCACATGTAAATGAATAAATAAAGATTCATTAACAACTAAAACAAATATTTTTAAAAAAATAAAAAGAGGGCTGGGCATGTGGCTCAAGTGGTAGCGCGCTCGCCTGGCATGCGTGCGGCCCGGGTTCGATCCTCAGCACCACATACAAACAAAGATGTTGTATCCACCAAAAACTAAAAACTAAATATTAAAAATTCACTCTCGCTCTCTCTCTCTCTCTCTCCCTCCCTCTCTCCCCCCTTTCTCTCTCTCTCTCTCTCTCTCTATATATATATATATATATATAAAATAAAAAAAATAAATAAAAAGATGTCTAGAAGGTTGTTCCTATAGATTGTGAACCCTGTAGGCAGACATGGATGTGTGTGTCTCTAAAACAAGCACATACATACTCACTCTTCAAGCTTGGAATCTTGCAGAATATTTTTCATTTTGCCCTTACCCTAAGTAGATCACCATTTAATAGCATTCCCTCCGCAATCTTGCTTACAGTAAGCACTTCAAGGAATATTTATGGAATGAGTGAACAAACAAATGAATAAACAAATGAGCAAAAGCCTCTGAAGCATGTAAATAATTATATGTATAACCATAACTTGGATCCTGAAAGTTTTAAATGATTTTTCTCTCCAAAAGGCTCAAGCTCAAATAAACCAGGAAAAGAAAAGGTGGAGAGGCTGTGGGAAGAAAGGGTAAACAATCTGAAATTCAGGGATGTGCTGGGGAGGCTAGGTGTGCAGCTCAGTAATAAGAATGCTTGCCTAGCATGTGTGAAGTCCCGGATTTGATCCCCAGAACTGGTGGGTGGGGGGTGGGGGGAAGTACTTTCAATTCTGTACTCTAAACAATTATTTCTTCAACTTATTGTCCACTGGGAACACAAATGTCTCAAAAAAAAAAAAATAAAAAATAAACAAACTGAATATACCCATGTTAATTGCTAAAACAAATTTATAATTCACAAATTCCTGAAATCTTGAAGACAATTTTTGTACAGCACAGCATTACCTCCAAGCAAAGTTTCAGACAGGGCTGTTATAGAAGCACTTCTCTCAGCAGTGCTCCTTACTTTTTACTAGTGAGAAAAGAAGTTGAGAACCCAACTGCCTCCTCTTTACTGATCCACCCAAAACAGAGATCTGCAGAAAAGCAGAATGATCAGATTTCCAAATAAGATGCTAAAGAGTAAAAAAAAAAAAAAAAAAAATCATACTTCAAAATAAGACTTTACAAGTAATTAACAATCAGCTCCTAGTCTTT